GTTATACCAAATGCTTCTTTCCCACTAGGCCTCTGATGAAGATATGCTCAGAGATACTAAAACCAGACTGAATATCAAATTGATTGCTTTTATTTGATGACAAGTGCTACTGGAATGTAGCATTCTATTATGTTAGAGTTGACAACATGAGAGAACCCTCTGCCTTTGAACAAAGTTGGCCTGCGTGTCCTAGGATGAAAAATATTAGTAGTTTTGTTCTTTTATTTCCTCTGCAATTCCAGCCTCCAAGCCTGGAGTTTACCGCTATATGTGAGAAAAGGCCATTATCCGTATATACCTGCTGTTGAGAAGAACCAGAGAAACTAAGAGTGTAAGGGCAAGAATAAGTCCACTAAGGACAGAGGTGATCCCTGAGCAGAACCTGGATCTCCAAGTTCAATATCTAGACTGTCTTCTTCTGGTTTTAGAAAAGCTCCTCTAGCATACCCAAACTGGATTTTTTCTAATCTAGATCTCTTCTTGTCTCCTTTTTCTAAAATTCAGAGGTAAAAGGATACCCCCAAAATATTGCTGTAGCAGCACTCTGGTTCCCAACATCCACATAACTTAGAACAAAAAAGCAGAGCCTTTGCACTGAAATTTCTGCCTGGGGCATTTTCCCCCAGACCCCCTCAAAGAGTCTCTCACTTCTTCATATCTTTCCTTACCTTAACAAGGCCTAGTCTTACAAAATTGTGGTTTGCCATTAACCAAAGTCCCTTATTGTCCTTTTTAAAACCATTCTTTAAAAAAAAACATATATCACATTCTGACATGCGTATATATATTAATTATATTTACTGTTTATTATATATATTATATATGTATAATAATGTACTCTTGAAAGCAGAAGTCTTTGTTTTGGTAATTGATGTATCTCAGTTGTCTAGAACAATGTTTGAGGATGAGCGAATGCGTAATAATGAGTGAAAGAATGAATGAATAAATCCCAGTACCAAACGATAAATATTGAAGTAGTCTCTCAAATAAGTCCCACTTCCCATATATAGAATAATATCTCATAATTTGCCTGTCAACGTTCTGATTTATCTTCACATTTTTTGTCTAATAGATTAAAGCTATTGTCTAATAGATAAAGCTATTGCTGCTTAATAGGTAAAAATGGTAGGTCGTTGTTTTAATGTATATTCCTTAAGTAATAACATAGTTGAAATTTTTCTACATTTGTTTAGTAACTAGTTAAAATTCATCTTTTATGAACTATTTGAGACAATGCCATTTATTGGAATGCTTACATCCCACCTATTATGTATATTCTGTTATAACATTAGTTATTGTTTGTTGAGTACTATGTGCCTATGTTCTTAACTACTGTGCTGTGTACTGTTCCATCGACAGCTAAAATTCAATACATAACATGTAATTATACTAGGATATATACCATACACAGATAATAGTCCTAGCTAACATTTCTTGAGGATTTACTGTAAGGATCGTAACAATTTTGCAGAATAGGTATTATTACTACCTTCATTATACTGATGAGGAAATAAAGGGTCAGAGAAGTTAACTAACTCGTCCAAGGTTACACAGCTGGTAACTCAGTTTGAATTCATCATTAGTGCTCTAATGCACTAGTAGTAACAGCAATGTTACATGTTCTCTTTGGCACATGATGTCTTGTATTATGTATTTAAATATACAGATCTGGAGCTGGATAGACTTTCAGTAGATGTTTTAATGATAGGACCTAAAAATTATCCTTAAGCCCTATTAATCCTGGTACAGTACACTGCTGATTTACTAGAAAAGAATTTTTTAGGCACTTTACTCTTAACAATTGTATGTCTACAATCACCACTTCACTTCTAAAATTGAATCCTCTTAGTTCTTGATTTTTAACTAGGTATTATTGGCCTTTAGGTGGTGTTAATTAATATAATATTTATTTTACTAGGGAGCTGAAAGAGAATTATTGCTGCTTAAAAACAAGAATACATGTGCTCTTGAATTTGGGGAATTTTTGTGTTATGTTTTGACAGCATTCAGATTACATTTGCACAATGTATTCCTCATTAGCTTGGTTATTTCACTAAGTATAGCATTTCAGTTTTGCCAGATTGTCAAATATACTACATTCTGTTTGAGAAATTTGTCTAGGTAGATTGTTTTTATGTGTTCTAGTTGCTGAGATAAAAGAGCAGCTTTTCCTCAAAGTTTTCTTTAGGGTCTTTGTTATGTTGACTTTGAATATTTACTTTTTTGTTGTTGTTGTTAAACCATTTATGATTCTGAAGGTATAATACTGAAAGAAACTGATTTTTTTTCTTGAAAGTTATTTTTTCCTGTCTCTTTCAGGGCCACTGGATAGATGTTTTACTAATAGAGTCTAAAATAAAAAAAAAAAAAAAAGGATTCTGATGAGCAGAATATCATGCAAAATTCTCCTCTATAAGCTATCAATATCATTTAAAAAATAGTTTTGACCGTTTTTGTAAAACAGGAAAGCTATTAAAAACTGCTAATAAAAAATAGGTGCTTATTTTTGTGCTAATACTAATTACTGATAATGCATGCTTATGTTTGTCACTCATTACATGGCACTGTACCAATCAGTGGGTGACTGAGACTCAGGCACTTACATATGTAAATTAACCATTAGATTTTTTTTTTTTTTTCTTTTTTACTTAAGTGAGTCATAATGGAAAGCAACTCTAGGTCATAAAAAATCTTTTCTCTTTAATGCTAATGAAATGTCTCCCCCTCTCTGTATTAGCAGACTACCCTTATTGGTAATCTGTAGCCTTCTCTTTTGTTCTTGGTGGTAATGAAATGCCTGGTGCTAAAAAAGCCCTCTCTCCAAGAATGTGTGGCCAATTGTCTTCTGTTCACTTCTACTGTAAAATTACTGTTCCCCAGCAAAGCTGAGCAAGTGCAGGGACAAGATCAAAAGAGTATACATTGGCACCCGGCTACCCCAAGTGACTCCTGCTTTATTAATTAGCCATAGCTTCTCCAAGTTAATTTACTCTGGTTGAGCAAAGACATTTTGTAATACAAAAACAACAAATTATGATTCAACCACAAGTCTTTATTGTTTGCTTTTCTTCAACTTCCAGCTTAAACCTTTGCACTGTTACAAGCTAAATGTCTCTTCACTTTTCTAAACCGTAGGGCACGAAAGCTGTTTTTAATTTTTTTTTTCAAAAACATTGGTGAGATAGTCAAATGACCATTTTTATTTTCTAAAATTGGGCAACTTTTAATTGATAGCATTCTCTTTCAAAGTCAGTGTATTGGGAATCCAATTTAAAAGTGCACTTGCTTCTAAAATTTGCAAGCTTGTTTGCTTTCTCATCAGAAATGCCACTGGTGTCTAAGCATTTGAAAAGGGCCTTCTCTGTGAGTATTTTTGCGGAAGCAAAATTTGACAGTGATCCTAAGCTCCAAATTAAATATCACTTTCCTAAATAATTAAATAGTACGACTTTCCTTTTCATTTTAATCACCACTCTGTAATTTCCTGAAGTCTTTTTAATTTAAGGAATCTTCAGGAGTTTTCTAGTTAATGTTTTAAAGTTATAGCCTAAGACAGCAAAAAAAAGACCAAAAAAAAAAAAAAAAAAGCTCTGCACATCCCTGTTTCCTGGTTTGGTTTGGTTTTTGTTCAAGTGGGAAAGGAATAATGAAACTTTTGCATAAAACATCAGCTGAAAAGCGAAAACTGACATAGACCTGAGTAAGCCAGGTGGTTGGTTGTTGTGTTATACAACCTCTCAGTTGGTAACTTTAAGTATTTTGATCTAATTTGAAAGAATTCCCCTAATTTCTATGCTCTAACATAGTTTAAAAATAACAATGGTATTTATTGTATATGTTTTGTGAATATAAAACAGATTTTATTATGATGATCTAAAATGCTATTAGAGATCATAATATTTTTACTCGAAAAGTATCTAAAACCCATATTATTACATTTATAAGGGAAGGTGCAATGATTAATATCTACCTTTACTATACATTTGTTTTTGAACTCAACTTCCTTCCCTCCTTAATTTCTCTATTTCTTTGTGACTTTAAAAAGCTTTTTAAAAAGTTAGTAAGCTTACTTGTTAATTTTGGATTTTTAAAAAATTTAGAAAAGATATATGCATTTCTGTAACTTAGATGGAGTGGTTTTATCTATATTACACATTTCTGCTTTTGTCAGAAGTAATTTTTTAAAGTCCTGCATGAACCATGCTTGTAAGGTTTTTCTTTCTCTCTCTTTTTTTAATAGAAGGAATATTTGTGTTTGCGAAGGTTAGCAGAGGCTGGCTGTGCTGGAAGTGACTGCAGTGCCTTTTGATTATTCATGGACAGTAATAGAAGGCACTTAAAAAGAACAATGAAATTGCTTATTTTTGTGATGGGCCATCTGTTGAATTGTTTTGTGCAACAATTGCACAATAGTATCTATGTCATATCATTCTATTTTCAACAGCAGCTGATTATGTCTCACTGGCTATTTGTCCTTATTTCTAAAGTCCCATGACCATTTAAAGTCACCTTTTCAGGGACCTTTGCCAGAAAGGTATTAGAAATCTCAATTGGCTTGTTTATTATTCTTTTTTTCTTATTCTTTTTCTTTTTTTTCCCTCTTTCTCCTCTTTTTGCCCTGAGGGGTGGGGGGGTTGGATGGAGTGTGTGATGGGAGTAGGAGGAGGGATTTGGTCATGTTAGTTCTAATTAATCAGACTTCCTAAATGTTTAGGACAATTATCTGTGCTTTCCACCTGTAGTTTATAAAAGAAGTTAACATAGAACCATTTGATAATTTGCTTAGAAATGATAGGCTTGCAAGAAAGAGTCAAGTTTAAAAGACTACCATACAGTCTTTAATGCTTTTAATTATCTACTCTTTTCTTCATGGTGATAATTAGAATTTTTCTCTTGGAATTCACTTCCATCCTTAAAAAAAAAAAAAAAAGATGAGCCATTAGCAAATTTGTTAGAGCAGAAGTGAAATTAAAATAAAACAAATGTGTTGTTGTCCATAGGTCACTGACATTGCTGATGCCATGATTCTGAAACAGCTTTTTGAAAATCTGTTCAAAAATGGGGTCGTCGTTGTGGCAACATCCAACAGGCCACCGGAAGGTAAAAACAAACATTGTGCTAGTCTCATCCAATTAGGTGGAAACTAATAAGCTTTGAAAAAATCTATACTTTTTATATTCATCTTACTGTGTTAATAAAATCTGATGACTTTGCTTATCATTAATTTTTAAAGGACTTAATCTAAAAAATCAGTTGGTATTTTTAGTGAGGTAAATCCATGTGATCCCCTGTGTTCGACAGACTTGCTGTTTTTCTCTGACTGTTTGATTTAAGTTCATATCAAAAAATGATGTTGAAGACCTGGAGGGAGTCCTGTAGGACTAGCCAAGAGGGTCCTTGGCTTTGTGCAGGATGCAAATGCAAAGCAGAAAGAAGTGAGAGCAGAGTTTATTGAATGTACAGAGAGGGCAGATACAGACGAAGCGACTGGGAGACATGGAAAAGAAAGGAGGATGAGTTCTGTCTTTATTTGGGGTCTGGCATTTTTTATTAAGGATCATGGTGTGGTGTATGTGTCCTCTCAGGCATCCAGGAGCCAGTGAGAATGAAGATGAGCCCCGGGCGTTATTGCTTGGAGCCGAGGTGTCTTGGTGTTGAGATGTCTAGCGCTGGTGGTCTGGAATACACATTTGACAGCTTTGTTCAGTCATTGTCATCTGGTCCTTCCTTAGATGTTATTTGTTTTGAAGAAGTCGTGAACTTCTTATCCCTTACAAGGAGGACATACACTATTTGCATTCTGAGGCATGTGTAAAATGGGGTGGGGGTGCAGGTCCTAGCAAGAATAGAAGCAGGAAGAGGAGCAAAAAGCAGATTTTTATGGAATTGTTCAGTTTCTCTGTCTCAGAAATACAAGCCTTTCTAATAGCTTTTTAGGGGTCATAAAAGAAACTCAATGAAATAAAAGATAGAAAACTCCTAACTGAATCTTAGAAAAAGACTTAACTCTTGCTTGCATATAAGTAGTTTCTAATACTTAATCTCTAAAGAAGCATTTGTGGGGACACCTGGGTGGCTCAGTTGTTAAGCATCTGCCTTGAGCTTGGGTCTTGATCCCAGGGTCCTGGGATCGGCCCCGCATCAGGTTCCGTGATCAGCGGGGAGTCTGCTTCTCCCTCTCCCTCTGCTTCCACCCTCATGTTCTCTCTCAAATAAATAAATAAAATCTTAAAAAAAACAACAACAAAGAAGCACTTGTGGGAGACATTAATTACTTAGTACCTTTTTAAAAAAATATTTATTTATTTTAGAGAGAGAGTGTGAGTGGGGGGTGGTGCAGAGGGAGAGAATCTTAAGCAGCCTCCCTGCTGAGTATGGAGCCCAGTGCAGGGCTCAGTCCCACAACCCATGAGATCATGATCTGAGCCAAAACCAAGAGTCCAGTGCTTAACGGATTGAGCCACCCAGGCACCCCAATTACTAATATCTCTGAATCCAGTTAATTCAAACAAGTGTAATTATACCTAATCTGTTATACTACAAGAAAATTGTGAATGATTCTGTTAGGAGCGTTTATTAAAATTTATATAAGTTTATGGAGAGCGTTCTTATGATTTACCAGGGTGGAAACCTTATGAGACAAGGCAGTGAGTTTTTTCATATTACATCATTTATCAAGACTCTCCTTTAGCTGACTATTGACCTAATAATGTCATCAGTATTATCTTTAGACACTCAGTGACAAGCTATGTTTCTAATTAGCAAGGTGCTAGAACAAGCTTGCCGCCTCCCTTACCACCAGTAAAGACCGCTGAAAAGAAAATTGCAGTTGGCTGTGATAAACTGCGGAAGGACTGCCACAAGGAAATGTTAAGGAACATTCTGGAGCTCGTAGCTTTGTAGAGTGAGCAAAGTTACAGGCCCACCAGGGTAGCATGTAGAACCACTTTTCCAGAGAAGACTGAAAGGTTAAGATGTGGAATTGAAAAAACTGGGCATTAACCACAAATGTGAACCATAGAAGGGATACCGTTACATATTTGGTTTTTTGGCCTTGGCAGACAAGTGATCATCATGAATGGCTTAATATTTTAATATAAAGAAGATGGCATGTATATATATTCCAGGTAAAGATAAATGTGTAGGGCAAAGAATAAATAGGTCAGTGGAAGGCATTTGACTGCAAAGGGGCAAAATGAGAGATTTTTTGTTGGGGGGGTGATGGAACTGTTTTGCATCCCAATTGTGGTTGTGATTACATGTATTCAAACTGATAGAACTGTATACCAGAAAAGTTAATTGAAATTAACAACAAATCACATGGTAATCAATGGCAGAGAAGATGTTAGAACCTAGATATTGTGACTCTTTAACACATTGTCCTCTATCATTTCTCCTTGTTGGTCATCCCTGACCTTTTTGTACCCTGTCCTAGAAAAAGGACCAACAACTTGGTTGATTTCCAACCAACAAAATGCATTCAACTTTTTTTTTTTTTTAAAGATTTTATTTATGTACTTGACAGATCACAAGTAGACAGAGAGGCAGGCAGAGAGAGAGAAGAGGAAGCAGGCTTCCCTCTGAGCAGAGAGCCCAATGTGGGGCTCGATCCCAGGACCCTGGGATCATGACCTGAGTCGAAGGCAGAGGCTTTAACCCACTGAGCCACCCAGGCACCCCTATGTCACAGCTTTTAATCTAGAGCCCCAACATAAGTTGTTAACTGTTTTAAAATAGCATCTACTTTCTCCTCTCTGTCTCTCTCTCTCTCTGTCTTTCTCTCTGCTTACTTGTGATCTCTGTCAAATAGATAAGTAAAATCTTTAAAAAAAATAAAATAGTATCTACTAATTCTTGGAGTGTTACAAGAGTTGGGGGAAGAATCTTCTCGCCAGAGAGTTCTCCCAGTAGCTGGAGAGAGCATGACGCATGTGAGTAATTGAAAGGTAGCCAGTGCGGCGGGAGAACCGGAGGAGGGGAAGAATAGGATGCAGTGAGGCACAATGTGAATCTGGAGAAGTGAGAGCTAGACTTTATAAAGCTGTAATAAGGACTTTGGATTTTATTCTAAGAGAAATGGGAAGATACTGAAGTACTTTAAGTGGGGACTGACAAGATCAGAGGTGGACTATCACTGGGTATAGTGTACAGAATGGTTACAGAGTGGGGTGCGTTAATATGGTGGCCTCAGAGAAGACATCTTAGGAGATCTTGCAGTACACTGGGTGAGAAGTGGTGCTAGCTTGTTATAAGGCAGTGATTGTCACCTAGGGGGCTGTTTGGCAATGTTAAGGTAGTTTTGGTTGTCACAACTAGGCAGGGTGGTGTTGGGTACTGCTATCGGCCTCTAGTCATTCTATAGAAGCCAGAAATTCTGCCAAAATATCATATAATATGCATGGCTACCCCCCACAACAAGGAATTATTTAGCCAAAAATGTCTGTAGTTCGGAGGTTCAGAAAGTCTGATATAAGGTGATACCTATGGATATGAAGAGGATAGATCTGAAAGATAGTCAAGAAGTAAGATGGATAGCACCTGGTTATAGGTTGAATACTGAGGAAAAGAGAAAGGAAAATGTAGAAACTGCTTTAAAATTTCAGGCTTGGGACGCCTGGGTGGCTCAGTTGGTTAAGCGGCTGCCTTCGGCTCAGGTCATGATCCCAGCGTCCTGGGATCGAGTCCCATATCGGGCTCCTTGCTTGGCAGGGAATCTGCTTTTCCCTCTGTCTCTGCCTGCCTCTCTGCCTACTTGTGATCTCTCTCTCTCTCTCTGACAAATAAATAAATAAAATCTTAAAAAAAAAAAAATTTCAGGCTTGTACAACTAGGTGGTGACGTGTGTCATTTAATAATGACAGTATAATCTGGAGGTTAAAGATTCAGAAGATAGTGCTCAGGTGAGAAAAACATTTTTTCCCCTTCATTAATTTTTTTGGCTTCTCTGTTTAATTTTCTTCCACTTCATTCATTTCATTGCCTCCATTTCTAGTTGTAAAGCATCAACTTCATGAACAAGAATGGGGATTATTGTTGTTGATGGAAGCTACTCTCATACCCTCATCTCTTAACAGCCTATAACTTAATTGTCAATTAATAGACAAATTATTAAATTTAGTAGAAAGTGACAGGAACATTTAATAAGGAACTAATATTTTTTACTTAATTGGTTTGTTTGTTTATTTATTTATTTGAGAGAGAGAGAGAGCATGAGAGGAGAAAGGTCAGAGGGAGAAGCAGACTCCCTGCCGATCAGGGAACCCGATGCAGGACTCATTTCTGGGACTCCAGGATCATGACCTGAGCTGAAGGCAGTTGCTTAACCAACTGAGCGACCCAGGCGCCCCAGCAATCAGTAATTTTAATGGGAAAAAAACTGATAGTCAAGTGAAAGCAACACCAGAGTTTAGGAACCTAAGAGAGAAAAATCCTGTAGAAGAGAAGAAAAGGATGCAAAACTTGGGGGTGGAGGCCAAGGGAATAAGGTACCAATGAGTGACTGCCTGTATGTCCTACTTTTGAATTCCTGTCTTGCTTGGGCCCAAGGCCTCACCCTCTATACCCCCATGTAGTTGTTACAACCCCAAACCAGGGCATGTCTTGTGATGAGCACTGGGTGTTATAGGCAGCTAATGAATCTGTGAACATTACTCAAAAACTAATGATGGTACTATATGTTGGCTAACTGAACATAATAACTATAAAAAAAGAACAACCCAAACTTTAAAAAAAAAAAAAAAGAAAAGAAAAGAAATGGAAGGAAAACTTCTAAATTAATTCTGAGGCCAGCATAACCAGATAGCAAAACCAGGTAAAGACTCCACTAAAACATGAGAACTACAGGCCAATATCCCTGATGAGCATGGGTGCTAAAGTTTTCAGTAAAATACTAGCAAATTGAATCCAACAGTACCTTTAAAGAATCATTCACTACTCATGTGGGACTTATTCCTGGGCTGCGGGGGTGGGTCAATATTTGCATTTCACAACACCAGTTTATATTTATCTCACAAACATTGTCAATAGAGTATTTGTTTATGTTTCCCTTTTCATGTTCACTGCTAGGAAGCTTAGATTCAAACTTGTAGATAACCCAGAGC